TGAAGTAAGGCCCAAAAGAATCCAGCAGGAGCTCTACAGCAGTTTGTACCAGCTAGTCTGTATCTCTAGCTGGGGCTGGAAGCAGAGGCCTCCCACAGGTGCCAGTGTCCTTCTGTGCAGTTTGCAGCACTGCGTGGCCATTTGGGGACTAAATTTAATGTATGAAGGCCTGCGTCAGATTTCTTCCTTGTCCCCATTTATCTTACCTGCCAAAATATTTTCCCTGCTGTAATAGCTCTGTGAAACTAGTACCTGCTTGTGACAACTTTTACTGGCACTCCTGTGGGTCTGGTGGGTTGGCTCAAGGGCACAGACCTTTGTTTGCTCTAGACCAGTTCCCTGCCCAGTGTGAGCGGCACATCCAACTGACAGAGCTTCCAGAAGTGCATTGGAGGTGTGTTTGAGTTGTGTCTAATTAGCAGCCAGAAGTGTTCCTGCCTGTTTTTGGTACAATGGTGGGCTCCAGCGTGTGTCCATTGCTTGTTCTCCTGACAGCTCACAGGATCGATGCCGATGGCTAATCCGGGGAGCACGCATCTCTCACGGTACCTGGGTCAACGGAAACCGGCTGCGAGTTTGAACAGAGACATTTTATTTTTACTGTCTGTACAGCAGGCAGTGTCCTGCTGGTTCTGTTAGGGACAAAAGGACAGACCCTGCTGCTCCAGGCGGCTCCCAGGCAATATCTGAGTTGTGGCTCGGTACCCAATAAAGCAGCGTGACTCTGAGTGCACAGTGCTTTCTGCCGAGGGGCTGAGCGGGCACCCTGCTCCCAGCTGGCCACGGCCCCTTCCTGCACTCACTCCTCTCTCCTGGCACTCGGCAGGGATGAAGATCTGTTGTTCTCACTTCTCTTGGGGTAGGTAACACACCTTCTTCCTTCTCATGAGGGGAATTTCAGTTCTCTGGCCACCTCCTGGAAGTCCCCTGTGCAAATACTTTTGGAGAGAGGTCAGTGATTGTTTCAATCTCAAATCTGTGTTTGAAATGCACTTGTTAAGAAAAGTATGTGCTTAAGTATGAATGAATTTGCCTTTTGAAGTAACATGGACCTCTTCATCACCAATCTGTCCAGCTGCTTATTTCCAACACTGCTCTTCCAGACAAGGACACAGTGTATCATAGTTTTATTAATTCTTGTGCCACCCACAACCATGTATTGTCAAGGATTTCCAGAAAAGAGGAAAGCAAATGAGGGAAAAGGACAGCAATTAATTTAATTTGATTCTGATGCTGCAACTATCTCTTCACATCTAATTTATTTCTAGTCAAAAATAAATGTAGTTCATAAAGTAAACCATACCAAAGTGAGGAGAGAGGCCAAATGAATGAAGAGCTGAAAATGTAACTCATCTGCTCTTTCTGAAAAGCAGCAGTTATGGCATAGATCCATTGGCTTTATCTTGCCTAGAAGCCCTGCCAGGGATTTCCAGCAGAAGGGCAGTCCTGGGCTGGTGATATAGCAGCTGGAAACAGCACCTTGTAGAATCTGCTACACACTGGGTACATCAGCACAGCTTTTGCAGAGAGACAAGGAATCGTGGTGGCTGTTCCTTGATCATAGTTTTGCTCTGGCTGAGTCCAGACCAGCCTTCATTGCTCATGGGTGAGAGCAGAGGGGAAGACATCCGTGTCTTGGCAGTGCAGAGTCGCTTTCGACAACTCCTGCCATAACTCCTTTCCTGACACGGACCTGGCCCCTGTTCTGTGCAGCTGTGGTTCTCTGTGCTCAGGTCACTGCACCAGAAGAATGAGATTTCCAAAAGAAATGCTTTTTTCCCTGTAAAAAAAACAAGTTCATATTATGAAGGGGTGTTCATTTGTTTTTATTAAAACCAAAACTTCTCAGTTGTGACCAGTTCCTGGTGCAGGGCTTTATTTCACTTATAGCCAGCGTTCTGTCAATCTCAAAGTAAATGTAAAATGTGCAATAAATTATATTCAGCTGAAAAGCAGCTCCCATTCCCTTTGCATCTGTAGGAGGTTTCCTGAGATAAAATCCCTGAAAAGCAAGGGTTGCAGGTCTTGTATACCTAACAGTACTCTCCATCCCATCCAGCTTACTGACCTCTGCTGGGTGGGACAGGGCAGAAATCTAAATCTCCTCCCGTTCCTTTTTGATGTCACTGTGTGAGGTATATGGTCAGAAGTGAGGAGCCAGCCTGTAGAGACAAGGACATGGCACAAGAGCATCCGTGGGAGCCAGATGCTCAGTTAGTTTCCCCAGCCCCCTCCTCCTTTCTTCCTTGTTTTCTATCAGTGCCATGTTTTGCCAAAACTTTAACAGCCCCACTGCAGAACCACAGCCTTCACCACCATATTCTTGCTGTGAGCAGCTGCCATTTTACAGCCACAACTCCCCTGGGACTTCTTTTTATGACTATAATTCAAAATTACCAACAGAATTAAAATAGAAGCTCTAAGCAAGCAGAGCTGAGCTTCCAGCCTAGCTTCCAGCATGACCTAGTGCCATTTCCTAAAGGTTGAGCTACCTTTTCAGTTTGCCAAGGTGTTCAGGCTGCTGCTTTGATGGCAGCTGGCTGAGCAGCAGTGCCTGCAGGCTTGTGGCACATCCATGAGCTGCAGGGTGGCACCAAGGCTCCAGCGGCTCTTGGGTGGTTTGGAGTCCTTGGTGCTGCCTGGTGGTGGAGAGGGAGGGAGTTCTCTTTCAACACAGCTCCCAGAGGGTTCATGGGGGCTTGGTTTGGGTCTGGCCAAGTCTCCAGTCCTTGCAAGGGGGTTCAGTACTGCCCTAGGGCTGTTTCTGAGGCTGCAGGGACCTGGTGCCAGGACTGTGCACTCTGACACCATCGGCATCCTGGCCTGAGCCCTGTCCCCCAGCTCAGTCATTGCACCTTCAGCAAGCCCTGGCACAAGCCCAGCACAGTGTCCCTGCTGTCTGCAGCCACTCTAGGCAGTGCCTGCCTCCCAACCCTCCACCCTGCCCAGCCACAGGGCTCCATCACCATGTCCCACACTCTCAGCAAAGTCTAGCAAGGAGCAGCTGCTCCACAGAAAGGTGGGGATACCTGCCAGCTCTTCCTATCCCCACCTGAGTGTATAGTTTTGGGAAGAGCACTTCAAGTGTTAAGTCTTCCTGCTGCCTGGCACAACAGCTCACAAACCAATAAATCATAACAGCAGACTCCTGAGTTTGGAATATAACAAACTCATTGTTCATTTGTCTCACATGTAAGAAAAAAACATGGTTCATTAGAAGTTTTAATGAAAAAATAAAGTTCTGAATTAAACTATAATTATACATGGCTGAAAGTGATGAACTAAAAGAATGGAGATGTTACTTTTTTATTTCTCTCTGCTGATATTGTAACGTGCTGGACACCATCCACTGGGATAAATCTGAAAAGGGGACAGAACAAGAGTCAGTCACATTGATTAGTGTTGAACCTCTGTGAAAAAGAGCCAGTTCACTTGACAGTGCACCATTTCTCCCATAAAAGCTTCAGGAACACAGTCCACAGAGGTCCAGTTGAACTGCAGACACACTGTAAATACAAGAGATACGAATTTCAGACCAGGTCCAACTCTTGTGCAGTTGTGGCCGGGATCTTCCAAAGCATTTCTGGGGAAATGGCAGCACTGGAGAACTTTGGTTATTCTTCTGGCTGCAAAGGACAGTCAGGCAGCCAGTGGGAGCGAGTCTTTGGCAAACTCCTTGGTGGTTCCACATAGCTTCTGAAGGCAGCACAGCACAGTCATGGTTGAGAAATTTCACAGAAGCTGGTTTTCTGAACCCAGTCAGCTGTTACAGCTTGGTGGAACGAGAATTTTATCAAGAACCAGGAGAGAACAGTTGCATGTTGTGCACTTCTGTCGCCCTGCCCCACACCTGGGTCCTGTGGTACTGGGCTGCTGGAGGCTTTGGCAGCCCTGGGGCCAATGTCTGAAGGAGGGCACTTGACCCTGTGTGCTAGCAAGACCCTCAGTCGTCACCAGGATGCATCTCCCGGTGAGCCAGTCCTCAGACAGGGCAGTGCTCCAACGCTGTGTGACTGCAGAACTCACGGGGTCATGTTCCTGCTGGCACAGCTGGTCTGGCTGCAGCTGCTGTGCCAGCCAGCGCTTCTCTGAGCCTCGTACTGGACAGAGCACACACTGTTCTTCAGGCATAACTTCAGAGAAACACCTCGAAGCATCAACCCGATCAGTGTGATCCATGTGGATCTGTCTGGTCCTCGAGGAGCAATGCCAGCATCTCCCTGGCCTTGTCTTTGAGCTCTGACTTCCCATTGTGGTCCTGAAGGAATCTCACATGGGCTAAGCCAGGAGGTCCTGTCTGCAGTGCTGGCCAGGGCCTCAATGCTCTCCTGTCCACTCCACACCAGACAGATCCTCATTGCACTTCATCCTGTAGCTGCACTGCCTGCATTTGATCTGTGTCGTTGCTACCAACAGAATAAAGATTCTGGCTTTTTGGTTACAGTCCAGTTCCAAAAATCAAACAGCAAAAACAAAAATCAACTCAGCTGTCACACTTGGATGGACATGATCAAATTCCAAACCAGACCTGCCAGGTTCTACATTTCCTTTGGCCCCTTTTACAGCCCATGTTTGAATTCTGGGCTGAGAAAAAGGAGAGTCATCTTCTTAAAACAGCACCATAGAGGTTAATGAAGGGACAGGAAATGGAGCAGTTTCCCCCCATACACACATTTGAGCTGTTCATGCAAATAAATCACAAAAAAACCACTGTAAGAAGAGACCTTCTAGGAAGGAATCTGATGCCACTGATCCCCCACACTCCCTGTCCAGGAAAACAGTTGCTCCTTCCTGCCAGGGCGCTGTCCCTTGGCACAAGAGGGAGCCCCAAGTCTCGTTTGCACTTGGATAATGCCAAATGACAGAACTCCCCTCTGCTCAGGCCCGTGGAAGCAGCAGCAGATCGCACAGAGGCCGGTAGCACTGAGGCTGACTCCTATGGAGTCTTAGGATATCTAAGATTGATCTATACGGACAAATGGGCAGGTATAATATCACACTGAATTTAAAACACAGGGCCATTTACTTTTCAGACTCTTCACACAGACTCCCTCCTCCTCCCCTCCCTCTTTGGGAGGAGGAGGAGTTTTCTAGCACAGAGAAGATTTGCAGTTTCCCAATGGGATGAGAAAACCTACTTGGCAAAGGTATAGTACATCACCCAGTCATCGTAACCAGACAAAACTCCACTGAGCTCAGAGAGCTCCGTCTGTCCCTCGAGAGTCTCTCGCCACAGTTCTGCCCAGTCGGCCGCTCCCAGCTCCGGCTGCCCGCGGCTCGGCGATTCCTCATTCCTGGGCCACAGGCCGGCTGGGCAGCCCTCCCGCCTGAGCAGCAGCAGTTCAGGGGAGCCCTCCCCGGCCTCCCGGCCGGCACGCACGGCTCGCCCACCCACACAGAGCACCAGCACGTGCCACCCCCCTAGTCCAGAAAGCGCCTGCGCGAGCCCGTCCGGGAGCGGTTCGAACGGCGAATGTCAAACTTGGAGTCCCGGCACTTCTGGCAGATGTAGATCTCTGGGACGTTCGATTTGCGGATTTTGGCGCAGGAGAGGTGGATCCAAGTGTGGCACTCGTTGCACTCGATCATGGGCCGCCCAGCGAAAGGCTTCATGCAGAAGCAAGTGACGAGGTCCCACGAGTCGTCATCTGCAAAGACAAATGTCAAAGATACGTTTTTAGGGGCTGATGCCTCTCACACCAGGAATTTTCTCTCCTTTCATGCTAAATTAACTACCTGGGTTTCAAAGACAGGCACTTTGCTGCTTTTTCCAGGTCTCTCTTGCACGGGAAGAGACTCTCAGCAGTACACAGGAGGCCGTAATCGAGGAGATGCTGCTTCTATAAAGTTGCAGCTTTTCACTCAAGTTTATTGCACAAAAGAGCCAACCCCCCTCCCTTCCCCCCGAAAACCCAACTGCTCCTGAATTCCACCCAGGCAGTGCTCCTCAGCATTATCCTCAGGCTACAAGTAAAGCACCACAACATCCACCTGGCTAATCCTCTTGGACAGCCAGGCCACCTACCTGAATCCACCATGATGTCCTCGTCATCACCAGTGCCATCCTCATCCCGAAAGACCACCTGCTTGCCCTGCCGGATGACCGTTCGTTTGCCCACGCTCTGGATCTCCACCGTCTGCTCAGCCGTCACAGCAGGGTAGGAGACGCTGGACGGGGTGTCAGAGTCCCACACCGAGCAGTGCTCAGTCACAGACTGAGGGTCGCCCTCTGACGAGGGGCTCATCGGCGTCTCTGTGTAAGAGTCCTCTGCCTCCAGGTCCAGCAGCTTCTCCTCATAGTCCTCCTCTGCAGACACCTCTGTTTCCCTCCTTTTCAGCTTTTTCTTCTTCCTGATCTTATCGATTTGCTTTCTCTCTGGCAGGAAGTTGCTGGCCTTTGCCCGCTGGAACAGGGAACCATACGGTTTTGCTCGCTTAAGCTGACTAAAGTTCTTTCTGTTCTTGGTGGGCAGGGAGACAGAGGAGGGGGTGTCATTGAAGCGGGGATCCCAGCTATCGCTGTCAATCGTGCCTCCAGTACTGTTGGGAGGGCTGGGGCTGTTCCTCAGCGGCGTCTCCTGGAACACGTTCAGGAAGCAGGCAACAGTTTGACATGGAGCAGACTCACAAGTAGCGCAAGGTGGTGTTCCCTGTCCCCCAGAGCACTTTGACCCATCCCTGAGATGCTGTGCCCTGTCCCCTAGAGTGGTGTCCCCTATCCCCACAGGCACTGTTACCTGTCCCCAAGGGCTGAGCCCTTCCCTCTGGATACTGTCCCCTGTCATAGGGACAGTACCAGGGGTGCTGAGCCCTGTCCCAGAGGTACTATGCCTTGCTCCCCAAGCCACTGTGGCCTGTCCCCCAGAGGAGCTGAGCCCTGTCCCCGAAGCACTGTGCCTTGTCCCCAGGGCATTCTGATCCATCCCTGAGATGCTGTGCCCTGTCCCCTAGAGTGGTGTCCCCTGTCCCCCAGAGCACTCTGACTCATCCCCGAGATGCTGTGCTCTGTCCTCTAAAGTAGTGCCCCCTGTCCCCACAGGCACTGTCCCCTGAAGCACTGTGTCCTGTCCCCAAGGGCTGAGCCCTTTCCTCTGGGTACTGTCCACTGTCAGAGACAGTACCAAGGGTGCTGAGCCCTGTCCCAGAGGTACTATGCCTTGCCCCCCAAGCCACTGTGGCCTGTCCCCCGGGGAGCTGATCCCTGTCCCCAAAGCACTGTGCCTTGTCCCCCAGAGTGCCATGCCCTACCCCGAGCCGCTGCCGCTCCCGCTTTCCCTACCCGCCACCCCGGGTTTCTCCGGCCGCAGCTCCGGGGCCCGGGGAGCAGCAGGAGCGATGCCGGATCCGACGTTTTTCACCCCGCCCACGCCGGGCACCACCCGCCCCGTCCCCAGAGCCTCCAGCCGCCGCGGTTCCCCTTTTGTTCAGGCCCGCCGCGGGGCCGTGACCGCTGGAGCGGCCGGTCTGACAGACCGGCCCGGTGCCCCCGGCACCCCCAGCCCGGTGCCCCCCCCCGTGCCCCCCGGTGGAACTCACCTCCTGGGGGTACGGGATGTAGCCGGCGTAGGCCAAGACGAAGGTGCAGAACTTATTGAAGTCCTCCACGGTGCGGTGCCGCCGGGAGCCGGGGGAGAAGTCCTGCGGGGGGCGGGGGTGAGCGGCGGCACATCGCCCCCCGGCGTCGGTACCGGGCCCCAGACAGCCCCCCCGCGGAGGGCACGGCGGGGCGGCGCCGCCGCCATTCCTCGCCCCGGCGGCACAAGATGGCCCCGGCCCCGGCCCCCCGCCCCGCGGCGGGGAACGGGCAGCGGGCACCGGCAGCCGGACAGGACAGGGCCGGGCCGGGCCGGGCTGGGCAGCGGGACACGCACCCCCTCCTCTTCTGTTCCCTCCCCGCTTCTCCCTTCCCTTCCTTTTTCCCCCCGGGACTCCAGCTCACCTCCGGGGCAAACGGCGAAGCGCAGGAGTCGGAGTCCATGTCCCGGCGCGGGCGCGGGCGGGTCCGGGGTGGCGGCGGCGGCAGCCGGGCAGTGCCGACACCGCGAGCCGCTCGGTGCCGGCGGGAGGCGGCGAAGGGGCGGCCGCCCGCGCGGGGCCGCCGGGAGCCGTAGTCCGGGCGTGCGCAGTGCCGGGCGCGGGGCGCGCTGGGAGCGGCGGAGGGGCGGGGGCGGTGCCGGTGCCGGGAGCGGTGAACGGAGCGGGAACGGAGCGCGGAGCAGAGCGGAGAGTGGATCGGTGAGTGGGGTCCAGGAGTGGCTCTAATCGGGTGATTGTGGGCCCGGGCGGAAGGGGCCGGCCCTGGGCTCACCGCGGGGCCTGGCTGGTGGCGGTGGCAGGACGGGCAGGGCGCCGAAGCGTCTACCGCGAGCTGGACCCTCAGCCCCGAGGCGGACCCTCCGTCCGCGCTAACGGCGGTACCCGGGCCGGACTCGGAGCGGAGCTCCCTCAGCTCTGTCTGCGCTCGGGGCGGTCCTGCGTTCCCCCGGTACCATGGGGCGGCTCCTTGTGAGCGCCAGCCCAGGGCCAAGGGCGCGGGGCTGGGCGCGGTAGCTGCGGGGCCCTGGGACCGGCCTGAGCGCGGCCGCGCTGCCAGCGCCGCCGCCTTACGCAACGGCCGCTCTCGGGGGATCCCAGCCGGGACGGGCTCCCCGAGCCCACCCGCCGCCTCCTTGCCTGATCTCCACCTCCCATTCCCGCCCCGAGAATCGCTTGGGGGTCGGCCCAGCGGCTCCGCGCAGGGCGTGATCCAGGTGCTCTCCCGCAGGCACGGCATGGCGACAGGCACCGGCGGGACGGCAGCGGGAGCCTCAACCACGGCGGCGGCGACGGGAGAACCGGCACACGCCGTGTCGCTGCTGCGGGGTCTGAGCGCGCTGCGGGCCGAGCGGAGCCTGCTGGACGTGACGGTAGTGGCCGGCGGGCGAGAGTTCGGGGCTCACCGCGCCGTTCTGGCCGCAGCCTCGGGATATTTCCGCGCCATGTTCGGCGGGGCCCTGCGCGAGTCGCGGGCCGAGCGTGTGCGGCTGCACGGCGTCGAGCCCGAGTGCCTGGGGCGGCTGCTCGACTTCGCCTACACCGGCCGCGTGGGGCGGCTGGGCCCCGACATCGCCGAGCGCCTGCTGCGCGCCGCCGACCTGCTGCAGTTCCCCGCTGTCAAGGAGGCCTGCGGTGCCTGGCTGGCGCGGCAGCTGGAGCCCGCCAACGCCCTGGACATGCAGGACTTCGCGGAGGCCTTTGCCTGCCCGGAGCTGGCAGCTGCCGCCCACCGCTTCGTGCTGCGGCACGTAGGCGAGCTGGGCGCCCAGCTGGAGCGGCTGCCGCTGCCGCGCCTCCTCTCCTACCTGCGGGACGATGGGCTCTGCATCCCCAAGGAGGAGGCTGCCTTTCAGCTGGCCCTGCGCTGGGTGCGCGCTGATCCCGCCACCCGTGCCCCGCTGCTGCCACAGCTCCTGGCCCACGTCCGCCTGCCCTTTGTGCGCCGCTTCTACCTGCTGGCTCACGTGGAGAGCGAGCCGCTGGTGGCCCGCTGCCCTCCCTGCCTGCGCCTTCTGCGTGAGGCTCGCGACTTCCAGGCTGCCCGCCTCGACCGCCACGACCGGGGGCCCTGTGCCCGCATGCGCCCCCGGCCCTCCACTGGCCTCGCCGAGATCCTTGTCCTCGTTGGTGGCTGTGACCGTGACTGTGATGAGCTTGTCACCGTCGACTGCTACAACCCACGCACTGGCCACTGGCGCTACCTGGCTGAGTTCCCCGAGCACCTGGGAGGGGGCTACAGTGTCGCTGCACTGGGCAACGACATCTATGTCACTGGTAAGGCATCCAGGGAATGAGGGGAAGCACCAGGGTGGAGGGTTCTGTTGAAAATATGTAGGTTGTAGCAGCGACACTTGGCTTTTCCTGGGTGGAAGAGAGTTTAGGACTTGGCTTGGGTGTCTGCAGCCTGCCAGCAGGCATGGAGACTCCTGGAGTCGGTGCTGGATTTAGCAGCTGGTCTCAGTCCAGGAGCTATTTTGTCATGACTAATGCTGTTGAGCATGCTGGCAGAAGTCACAGATCTTGTAGTTAGAACTTCTTAACCGTCACTGAGGACAGGGGTGATGTAAGAAGGTTTTGAGTTTCTCTCTTTGAAGAAGGTGTTCAGGTTCAGAGCCCCCTGAATCACATGCTTGAGGCTGAGGCTTGTCAGAAAGCCCTGGGTTCCTTCGCCAGCCCCTGTGAGTCACAGTACCTTCCCCTGCACAAGTCATGCCTCCTTGCTGGGGCTACAATTACTTCTGTCAAGGTGACACCAATATGTAAATTTGGCTGTTAAGCTGTATGCAGATCTTTCCTTTGAACTACATCTCTGTGACAGCTGTAACAAACTGAGGCCCAGCACACCGAGTGCTGTGGAACAGCGTGCCCTCAGTGTGCAGGACACACTGGCAGAGCTTTGAAGAGCAAGTCTTAATGCAGGTGAACAGAAAACTGTGTGTTCTCTAGTCACAAGCAGAAAACAAGGACCTGCTTCAAGGACAGGGCTGTAAAAATGACAGGCTACCCACATGGATGCAGCATGTTTTTACAGAAACCTTTACATCCTGTGGGAGCTTCCTGGAGTGATCCCAGGCAGGTCTCCGCTGGGAGCTGTGTGCAGGCTGCTGCTGGGGATTTTGGGTTGGTGTGGTCTGTGTCAGTGTGACAAAGGCAAGGCTAGGAGGTTCCCAAGCTGCCAGCAGCACCACTGCCTTGGCAGCTTCTGGGTAGTGATAGAGGGGGTGCTGTAAAATGGGGGCTGTAGAAGTGTTAGAGGACAGAGGTGGGTGGATGTTAGAGGACAGAGGTAGTGAAACATGGAAGACTCATTCTGAGTCACAGCTGGATGTGGACTAGGAACGACATGGGAGAAATCCTCTCTGGCTTGCTGGGAATGAAACAGTGCAAAACTTCCTTTAAAATCCTTGTGGCACACGTGCCAAGCCAAGCGCTCTGCTCTATCACCCTTCCCTTGGTGAAGCCAGGCTCCTGACATTGTCATGCTGTGCCACAGGGGGCTCGGACGGGTCCAGGCTGTACGACTGTGTCTGGAGGTACAATTCCAGCGTGAACGAGTGGACAGAGGTGTCGCCCATGCTGAAAGCCAGGGAATACCACAGCTCCACGGTCCTGGACGGGCTGCTCTACGTGGTTGCCTCTGACAGCACGGAGCGCTATGACCACACCCTGGACAGCTGGGAGGCCCTGCAGCCCATGCTGTATCCCATGGACAACTGCTCCACCACCTCGTGCCGTGGGAAACTCTTTGCCATCGGCTCCCTGGCTGGCAAAGAGTCCATGGTCATGCAGTGCTATGACCCTGACAGTGATCTCTGGTCCCTTGTCAACTGCGGCCACCTGCCCCCCTGGTCCTTTGCCCCGAAGACTGTCACGCTCAACGGTCTCATGTACTTCATACGGTGAGTAGTGGGAGCAATCACTTCCCTCCCTCCCCATGTCCCCATGAGGAGAGCCCACAGCTTCCCTGGGAAGGTGGATTTTGCAGGTGTTGGACGGAGGGCACTGGGTTGGGACAGCACAGCAGTGCTTCCCCTGATGGTGCAGGGAGGGCTGTAACACCTCTTTCCTTGTGTTGGTGGGTCTCAAAGAGCTGCCCATAAACTTGTGTGAAAATGTCTGAGTGTAACCCAGGGCTGGGGAACAGACACGTGTAAATCCATCTGAAGTCAGCAGCGCTGCTTGGAAATTGGCTTCTCGGTTTCTTCGGCTCCTGGTTCAGCCCCCCTCGTTGCTATAAATAAGCACATAAGCTCCAAGAAAACGTTAAACTCTAGTGCAGGAGAGGACGTCTTCCGTCTCAGCAGAGATAAGAGGGCTGAAGATGAAGTGATTGGTCACTATTTTTAAGCACCTTTCCAAATTGGGACTTAATTACCCATCTGAAGCTGTCCTGGTGGCGCAAATACTTCAGTTATCCGCTTAATTAAAAATAAACGGGAAGGCATGCTAGGGCTGGAGCATTTCATCTCCCTGTGTTGACTCTGAGCAAACAGAGACTTCTGTGATGGCCCCCAGGCACTTCTCTTTTTTTAATCTCCTCTTGGCTTTGCATAAAGTAGCAACTTTGGCCCAAGACTTTTTATTTGATCCTTTCGGGTCCAGCCAAGTGTCTTGCTGGCGGCTGTTCTGGTCAGCTGGTTTCAGTCTGTCCTGCCAGGGTGTTGCAGCTGCTCAGCTCCTTGTCACAATCTGATTCTATAGAATTTCCTTTTTCTTGCCCATTTTAAAACACTGATGATTGACACTTCAGAATTTTCAGATCACTTTGCATCTGCAAGAGCCAGTGAGGAGATGATCGGGGTTAGGTGTTCTTCCCTCATGTCATGTGCTGCGTGCGCGTGGGCTGCTACTCCATGTAGAGCTGTGGGATAATCTTTGGAGGACAGAGGAGTAGATTGCAAGTAAAAGTAGCAAATTGGTTTAATAGCTCAGGCTAAAGGCTCTGAGTGATGGTCCTTCGTGCTGGAACTAGTAAATAAAGCACAGGAGTAAGGTTCAGGTGCTCTCTGCAGCTGCCCCAGAGTTGACCCAAAGTGGGGAGAGGAGCCCCTGGTCTGGCTGCTGGCCCTGCCTGGAGCTGCCTTGCAGCATCTTGATCCCATCTGTACCAGGACTGTCTTGGAAGGACTGACAGCTCCTCTCCAGCTGCCCTGACCTTGTCCTCCACGCATTCTTGTGTCAGCAGCGCGTGTCTCTGAGTCGCAAACGTCCCTCACCTGTCACTGTCGCCCTCCTGTCTGCCGAGCAGGGTGGGTAAGAGAAGCCCTGGGGGATTATGTTGCCTCCCCAGCTCTTCTCTCCCCCTGCCCATCTAAATTTGGCTTTGATGAAGAACCCAAGCAACGTTTCTAGAATGCAGAAGAGTAATTTTGTGTTCTCTTCCCCAGAGATGACTCGGCTGAAGTGGATGTTTACAATCCATCAAAGAACGAATGGGATAAAATCCCTGCTATGCTTCAGGTAGGACATTTTTCCACTTCCAGGATGTCTTAAATGTTATAAATTAGTTTCATTTACCTTTGGAAAACCAAGAGCTTTTTAGAATCAGAACCCCTTGCATGTGGAGCTGGCTTAAGTGTGTCGGAGTCACTGGGAAGACCATCCTAGAT